AATTTAAATAAGATACATGTAAATGTCATACAGATCTAATGATAACTTTGGTGTGAGAAACAAGGGCTAAATAAAGCGTACATATACATGTATCCTATAAATTTCATACAGATCAAATGATAACTTTTGACATTTGAGCATTCACAAGGTTCTGCAAAGCGAAACAAGGGTTGTCCATGTAATTCTAGAAGTTACATGGATTAACAGAAATTGTTGTAATTCCATAGGCTTCTCCGTTTTACTAATCCAACTACATGTAATGCATATAAATTTCATACAGATCAAATAATAACTTGTTTCGTTAAAGCGTTCACAAAGTCAAACAAGAGCCATGCCCATACCGGTAACTCTAACTCCAGAAATAATAAATGAATTTCATACAGATTGGACAATAACTTTTGCAGTTACCATGTAAAGCATTCATAAGATTAAACAAAGTGAAACAAAAAAGGCCATAACTCTAGAATTAATAATGTAAACAACATAAATTTCAAAAAGATTGGATATTAAACTGTAGTCGTTAGAGTGTTCATAAGAAATTGTGGACAATAGATGGAGGAATGTGTAACAGCAATAGCTACCCACATGTACTCTGGAATGACATCAAAATGGGGTTTTCCAAGTGCAAGGTCATGTGATGGAGTATAAAACACTGCCATTCACCACCGTTTTTGTACTTTGGCCTTTTTCAAGTTTGGCCGAATGACTAACATAAATTAATACATTACATTACATATAACTACATTGTACATACGAACATGTATGCCGACTATCCTGAAGGTCAGGATCATTATTTATATGGGAAATCATTGGTTTATCTGATGTTAGAGGACAACTAGAAACTGGAATTTTAGCACCTACATTTTTTAAGGGGTGGGAGAGGGTGTATGAGTTTCTGTATGGCCCACATAATGTTCTCGTTTATGCTGTATTCATTAAGCATATCCTATTGGAGCTGTAAATTTTAAAGATAGCTTGCCAAGCAACAAAACATACGCCCACAGCGGTCAACAAGAATTGGCGCATATTTATTCTTTTGAAGGTAATGGGGGCAGGGGGGCATTTACAAGACAATTTGAAGGTTTACAAGGTTTTACAAACTAAAACAAACAAGCACCTTTACATGTAACTCTGGAAGAAATTTATACAAATTGTTGAAATGCAGCTTCTCGTTTCACTACGGTAATTTGAATGATTTAGATAAATTTCATACATGTACAAATTAGAAGATAATTTTTGTTGTTCAAAGTTCAAGCATTCACAAGGTCCAAAAAAGTGAAACATGGGCCATAACTCTAGAAGTAATTAAATTGCTGAAGTTTAATCATTTTCATTGTTTCACTAATTCAAATGATGCATATAAATTTCATAGTATACAGATCAGAAGATAACTTTTGTTGTTCAAGGATTCACAGGGTTTCAATGTGAAACACAGGCCATAACTCTAGAAGTAATTAACAGAAACTTCTGTAATTCAATCAATAAGTTTCTTCGTTTCAAGCTAAATGATGCATATAAATGTTATAAAGATCGGATGATAACAAAGTGAAACTAGGGCCATAACTCGTGAGAAGTAAATTAATGCAAATTGCTGAAATTCAATAGGCGTCTTCGTTTTAATAATTTAAAGGATCTAAATCTCTATTCTTTGGCACCTAGAAATCGACAGAAACGGGTCACAACTCACAACACATATAATAATATGAATGTACATGTTTACAATGATTTGTATTCAATCGTTTTGTTTTTACTGTAATTTAATCAGTTATGTTCAACGAAATATGCAAAGAGTCAAAACTGAATTGCAGTCTGGGTATTCCAGTCTACTTTCATGTACACCAGTCACCAGTAGTATTCTCCTGTAGATGTACATGTATGTTTAGCCTCGTTCATCGAGTTGTTACATGTACATTACATAGCGCTCGAAAGCATTCTGGCACGTGATTTGCATGTCGATTTTAAATTTTCATTTCGTCTTAAATATTGGATATCAGAAGCCCACCTTTTCACAGTAAGATACATGTAACAACATCAATCTTGATTTAAACTGACCAATAAGTTGTATTCGCAATGTGGAAGACACATGGATAACACTGAGATAGAGACTTTAAATTTCATACAGATCAGATGATAAGTTTTGTCATTAGAGCGTTCACAAGGTGCAATAAAGTGAAACAAGAGCCATAACTCTATACATAATAAATGTATTTGCTGAAATTCAATAAGCTTTTTTGTTTCACTAATTTAATTGATGCATATAAATTTTATACAGATCGGATGATAAGTTTTGTCGTTAGAGAATTCACAAGGTGCAACAAAATGAAACAAGGGCCATTAACGGTAATCACTGAAATTAAATAGGATTCTTCATATGTAAACAACATGTATGAATTTCAAAACAATCATATATAAGTCTGTAGAGTGTTCAGAAGAATTTGCAGACCACAGACGTACATACGGACAGGGGCGACAGCAATATACAACCATATAAAAACAATAAGCTGATGTCTCCCGCCACAATCCCCAAATAAATAGATGACACATATTAATTAATTGCACATTTATCTTTTTGAAAAGTACATGTATCGAGCCATAAAACTGATTACTGTATCTATAAATCGTCTAAGCAAAAAATGCCTACGATCGAACTCAGTCAACATTTTGAAGTACTGGTACCTTGTTTCATAATTTCCCTCAATCAGTTAATGTACATACATACATGTATGCATACATGTATAATCAAAGTTACATGTATCTTGTACCAAAGCATCAACGAATGAAATTGTTTAGCTTTAGCAGAAAATGTTAATTATTGAACTCAGTCAAGACACACAAAGTTTCATCACTCTCACTTAAACATATATATGCAACTTATATGTATCCAGACCATAATCAACTCTCGATGTCATCAGCAAATTCCCTTTACATTATCTAGTTTTGAAACATTAGTGAGAACTGTAGTGTCACTCTTTGTCTAATCTACCGTAATGCCCCTTTAATAAGAACCAAAGTTATTGTGTCCCAAGGCATCAATCAACCAATTAAATTGCTTATCTCTGCTCAGTCCAAGCAGACAATGCTCATCTGCAAACTCCATTAAGGCATTCATCAAATGAACATCTAAACCAATTTTTGAATATTGTAGCTCAATTAGAAGGAGAGTTATTGTGCCTCAAAAAGTGTGATGGACAGGTGGGGGACAAAAAAAAAGGTAGGCTACACTATTGCCGAATATACATGTAGGCCCCTGTGTAATGAGATACATAGCTACATGTAGCCTACATGTATAACCGTTTTTAATTACATTTTTTTACATACATCATACATGTATATAAATCGTTTTAAATAACAACTCTACCTGAACATTTTTATTCATTTAAATGTGCGAGACAAAACTGCTGTCAATGTTTTAAAATTAGTCTATCTTCCTTTTGTTGAACAAACATAATGGTACCGGTGCCGTTCTGTTGAAATTACAGAATGGTCATTATGAGGATGCCCACATCCCAGTGTTTACATCGTTTATTGTTAATTGACTGCTTCGGAAATGGATAAAAAGTAACACCGATCATATTATCTTTATGCTTTATGTTTATAAATGTAGAATAAGACACATGTACAGTACATGTAGGTTATGTACATTATGTTGCAAAAATATGAAAATATTTGATTTATGGGACATTTTATAGAGGACATACATACATGTACGTAGGTCTATAGGGCCTACATGTACATGTATCACTGAAAAATATCAAGGATCATTTGGTATGGTATGGAAACTCAATGTACACATATGTACATGTACAATGTAGGTACATGAAGACCCATGTAGGCAGTGAAGGGATTTTTAAATTTTTCTTGTCGGACATATTTACCGAAAATAAAGGGATATACATGTACATGTAACTATTATCATTACTTAATCAGGCAGCTTTAGACCACACACAAAAATCATGTGTCAACAAAATATTCAAATTTGTACATAATAAAAAAAATAGGTGCACCTTGTTATTTTTCATATTTAATTCCTGTACGGTATTCAAATTTATGTCAGTAATATTCCTAAAAAATAAAGTGATGTCGTAATACGATAGAATGAAAGCGTGCGGACTACTGCTGACCCGTACCTGTTTCAAATCCCTCCAAAATTACCGTATTTTCAGCAGAAGTCCGGCATTTGTCTATACTGATATACTCCGTTTCGTCCTACATGTATATACCGAAGGTAAAAAAAAATTACATCCCGAAATTTTTTGGACAGTAAACGTCGCTCTATGAGTAGGCCTATTATACGCATGTAATTTATAAAGAAATCTTATCAGAATGGATTTTGGACAACTGCTGATACATGTATCTAATATATGGAAATGGAATGTAAAAGCTTACCGGTATTGAAAAGAAAAGAAAGGTCTAAAAGCAATTAAAACGATTACAATATTTATATCGCAGGTTTTTTTTTTATTATTTTATCAAAATACTTAAATATTAACATCAGGCACTACCTAAATTTGGAGAGCAAATTACTCTGGTTATTTAGACACTAGGATCACAATCATTTCAATGCCTTTGGCAAGACACCAATAGATGACCTATATTGTTTAAAGGACTTTCTCTTCAGGATTTCCTCATAGAACAGTCAACCTATCCTAGACTTGACACTTGACAGGTCTTCCATGTAATATTATTATTTACTATATTTTATACAGTCAGCCTCTTACACAGGATGAGTATGCATGACATCATGGGCATCCATATTATATTGCCATATTGTGCTTGTCTTGTATACAGTTCTAGTTGTAATTGTGACCAAAATTGAAGCCATAATAAAACATAAATTACAGTATGTGTAATGACAACCTTCTTTATCTGTCAAAACTAATCTTTTACCTTATTTTATACCCATTAAATTAGGTCGAGACGTTGTGTACTTGCCCGCTCTGGACTAAAACGGGGTTACCGTGACCTAGAAAGTTTATACATAATCTCATTGCATGACTTACCTACGTCTTCCTTTGAACTGACGTATTTTAATATGATAAATATCCACACAAATACAATCTTCATAATAAACGGTGGGCGTAGAGTATCCATTTTATGTAGCTTGTATGTTTAGAATGGTAGTAACCTAAATAATATGTCTAGAATATTGTTCTTCACCCAGTTCGTGCATTATATATTCAACTTCCGAAGTAATGAATGAAATCAGTACGGTCACAAACACGATTATAGTCATATCGTGGTAGCATCCGCCAGCACTGAGGACATTCCCCGAGCTCTGGCTTTTAAGCACACAGGTAAACGGATTGGTAATAATGTTGGGACACGCAAAAACTTACTAAAAACGACATGTACCATATTTTATCAGAAATATATTGTCGTTTCCAATGTGAAAAAAAAAATAACTCGACCAAGCAGCCTTGAACTTCTGCTCGTCGACTATTCCTTTGAAAATGTCCTATATTATGGCTTCTGGCGAGTTTTCTTCGCCATACTTTTCACATATGTATAGCTGAGTTCTATAACATGATGATCTACGGTGAAACAATTAAATCCATCCTAAAATATCGTCAAATCTAGCTCAATAATTGATACACAAAAGGTCACAATCTTTCTTCTCAGCGGAAAAACAAGACGTAAACAACCTCAAAAGCTGATTGGTCGATCAGTTAAACAGAGCTAGTATTTATTTTTAGCGCCGTCAAGACAGTATTTTAAGGGTCTTGACTTAAAATTTATAGTGATGATAGCTGAGTCGGTTTTTTTTAAATTGCAGAGCGCGACAACCTGACATTAGTTTATCGCATACCTTTAAATCTAGAAGTTGGTATTTTATAGCCCCATGGTTAAAATACAAGCCTACATGATGTTAAAGGCACAACGACTGAACGAGTCTGATCGTTTGTGTATGTCGTTTGTGTTGATTCCCAAATCAAGTCCCAAACGTCGTCAACTGAGTCCCAAATGTCGTTTATGTTGAGTCCCAAATGACGTGAGTCCCAAATGACGTGATGCCGTCTGACGATAGGCAAAGAATGCGTTATGTTATGTATATGTATGTAATTAAGCCCAACGTAGTGTTGCATCAAAATATATTTTGATGACCGTACCCTTTATTTTTAAACTCATCTTAGGGCTTCTGGGTGTACGTTTAAAAAAATATGATATCGACCAATTTGTGAAGGCTACCACAAATGTATTGTCGCTTGAATTTCACATAGGCTCCTGCTACGATCATGAACCTTATAATTATATTAATATAAGGTCCATGGCTACTATTGTAGGCTACTAAATAATAAATTATAAAAGAAAAACAATAACATAATCTGACCATGGTGTGACGCACGAGGATTCGATTTTTTCAATAAGAGAGATGGGGTTTAACGTCCACTCGACACAGACTGGGTCATTTCGAGACTAACACACGGCTAATTCAACTTTATTTCAATAATTCGCTTGCGCGTAGGGGTCTTCTTTAGCATTGGGAGGAAACCGGAGGACCCGGAGAAAACCCACAAGGTTGGACAGGCGACACTACTTGTCACGTACAGCCGGGGAATCGAAACCACGCCAGTTGACTCAATGACAGACCTTATGATACAGCGCGCACATGCTAACCATTCGGCCATCCAACCCCTCCTTTGAAGAGTATACAAATAATTTACAAAAAGCAATTGTCGTCTATTCAGTATCGCATATACGTAGGGTAAAGTCGAACAAATGTTCCGACTGGGGCCCCTAAATGTGTCCTTTTTATGTGTGTGTGTGGGGGGGGGGGGGGGCAAGTTTTGGGTTCAGTAATGATCGGGCCCGTATCTACAGGGGGGCGTGGGGGGCATGCCCCCCCCCCCCCCCGCGTGAAATGCTCGCCCCCCCGCTCTCAGAAATTGCTAACAATCATTAAAGTATACACAGTTCCTTATATTAACCTAAAAAAACTACGCTTCCCTAAGCAGGAGGAGGTATAATTCAGGCGACTATGCGCATATTAATCCCACGGTATCTCATTACTTTATAAACCATTTTTTTGTACTAATCTAAAATAGTTTTAAATAAATTTAAAAAATCACGATTTTTTGTTTGTTTGAATACTTATTTTAAAATGCTTATTAGACGCCTAGGTAACTACATAGCATGATGATTACAACAGTCTGTTAGAATGACCTTTCCGAAAATTTCCTCAAAATGTTCGCCCCCCTACCGAAAGGTAATGCCCCCCCCCCCCGCTTAATGGTGTCTAGATACGGGCCCGGTAATGATCCTGAATTGATACGATGTTTGTAACTTGATCGACTATTGGTAACTGTCTTTGAAAATGACGTTATATGGCTGAGATTCTTATCTTGATTTATGTTTGAAAGTCATATTCTAATACAAACAAAAAAAAATGTTTCGCATTATTAATATAATAATAATAATAATAATCTATTTATAAAGCGCTGAATATCCAACATTTAACTTGAGTTACTCGTCAGAATATACCCCAGAATGCACTCAGGGGCGTACATATCAACTGATGCACATGTCCCTAACACGAACACCGCTGGTGCGAGTTTTCTAGGGGGGTCTGGGGGCATGCTGCCCCTGGGAGATTTTGAATCGAGAGTCCCTGAAAAAATGCCATTTCCTGGACTTTGGGGGAAGATTACTGATGGTCAGAAATGGAAAATACTTATATAAGCTATAACATGAGTAAAATTGAGTACTACGCATGGGAATTCATGTTATTTTTAAGAATTTAGAATGTGCAATGAATCTGTGACAACTTATGAAAGTGATAATATACATCGTTTACATGGACCTATATCTTCGATATATTGTTGTGGTGACTATATTAGCAAATATATGACTATGTCCTCATATTTTCATCAAGCGTCCGCTTAAAGTAGCTAAGTCTCTAACTCAATATCATCCAAAATCTTCGACATTGAAAACACGATTTATTTGTCGGTTTAAATCAACATTGATGTTATGATCTTAACGGGAAAAGATAGCCTTCTGATATCCAATATTTAAAGACAAAATAAACATTTTACAATTGGTACACGAATCTTGTACCATAATACATTTCAGCGCTATGTGTAATAAGGGACTCGAAAAACGAGCCTAGGCATATTCCACAAGTTATGTCAAACGGTGACGCTATATTCTTATCTGGAGAGCATGCCCAATAAATACTATCGGCGTAGAGTGGAATAACCAGACGCTAGAGATGGAAATTCGATTGAGAATACTGGCGTATTTCGCCGAACCTAACTGATTTTAAAACATAGATATGACGTCACCCTTTGATGTTTTTAACCCGTATATAGGAGAATGTACGCTTTTCTTAAACAGTTTTATAAATAATAGACGCTTGTTTAAGAAAATACCAATAATAGACATTTATCTGAAAAATGAACATGTATTTTGGGATAATTTATTCTCTGAACAAATTAAATTACAGAACATGAAATTACTTTAAAACCTCATAGTTACCGAAATGTCACATGACCGAACGTTGATTTCACGTGTTTGTCTACATAAAGAATTGCACTTAAATCCGTCCGTTATATGCCACTTGTCCGTTTAATAGTACGTTCGGCACTAGATCGATGATACGTTTTTATACGCCCACATTTTCACACCTCCTTTGTGGACACTCTACAGGTTATAACTTGAAATTATAGGTATATATCCCAAATATCTTGGTTCCTTTCGTTATTGACTTGTATGAGACCGTAACTTCATGGATTATGGCCCCCAACTGTACACACTAGAGGTCACAATTATTAGCCCATTTTGATGAAACTGAACATGTTATAACCCAAAGATCTCGATTCCTTGCGATATTGGCACATATCGGACCATAACTTCCTGAATTATGGCCCCTGATTGAACAAAAAAAAAACGTGTTTTGAGCCTGTGGAACCTATACAGGTCACAATTTTTACACCATAATGACAGTTGAGTTTGAATTTCGTGAATTGGTTTGTGCCTTTGATCACTTATATCAGAGTATATATTAAATTTTAATTCAAAATTTGAACGGCTAGTACCCTCCATATTAACCACAGTACTAAGATTATTATCAATATCTAAATCATTCTCGTGAGCGGCCTTTCCATCACAACTTTGACGGCTATCATTCTCCCATACCAAGAACATCACAATTTTTACGACTATTATCTTCCATATTGAGTACACTACCAATTTAATCAGTATCCAAATGCTTATCACATATATTCTCATTATTGTTAATATTTGTTTTCAACTATGTTATAAACATGTCGTCTCCATGTCGAATATTTTGGACTGTCTGTGTATGCTTGCATTGTATTAACTTGTATGAGCATGTGCATGTTGTTTTAAGAATATATCCATTATTTTATGGCTTGTTGTTTTAGAAAACTATCCATTATTTGTATCTCTATGGTGCCATGTTTTAAGTTTGATAATAGCCTCAGACTGTCCATGATGAAAATACAAAGAAAAACTTCGGGGCTAACGCCCTTCAGTTGTTCTTTCTATTTACATAATGGACAGTCTTCGGCCATTATCCATCACAGAAATTACAGTAAAAACAGAAACGATTGAATGTAAATCAATTTATATACATTCATGTTACATTATTGTATGCGTTGCGACCCATTTGTGTCAATTTCTAGGTCCCAAATATTAGCGACTTAGCTCCTTTAAGTTTGATTACGGATCGGCGATTTTGTCAAGATCGATCGTGTCCGCCAGGTCACACTCACATGTACGCACGAGTCGATACTTGATTGGGGCGTTACTGTGTCATTACTGAACGCATACACAACAGGTTTTACTAATTTGAGCTTTGAAAAACAGGCGCATATCGTGATATATAATCAAAGCAATCATACATACACGGAATTTTCCCTTCTATTTTGGCTTTACCTCGTTAATTGATTTAATCGCCGATGCATTATTTTTAGACCAACTGGAGTGACGGCACTTATTTTTTTCATGGGGGAGGGGGTCACATTAATGTTATGCCCCTGAATCCCCGAAATCGAATCCATTTTGTCAAAATGTTCGATTCGCACCGCATTGGACCATATGATTTCCGTTTATAGTGCAAACCTCTTTTTGCCCTTTGCTTGTGTAATACTATAGGGTATATTTTAGTTATAAGAAAGGTGTTCTGTTTAATACAGAATTCGTTACCTACATGATGTGTGACGAAAACTAGGGTAATGAAGTAGCTTGCATTATTCTACTACTGTCTTAGACTAACTCACCGACATTTATGTCAGTATCCATTGCTGGAAGTAGGGTACTATAGTCCAATCATCTCGTGCACGGATTAGTACAATTAACTAGAATAGTGTTGACGTAAAACGGTGCCTATACGAAACACTTACCCAAAAATGGTAATTGTCCCGCCCTAATAGATGACGCATTATAATATCTATATAGGAGAGAGCTGGTTTGATTTACCTTCAGATATCATGAAGACATTATTCGGAGCTCAAGGGAAACATACCTATAGCCTCCTCGGCTTAGAAGCTAGGGTGAACACATCATCCTCGCGCGAACCTTATGTAGAACTATCAAGAAGTATGTGGCCCTTGCCACGTTTAAGCCGTTCTGGTCTGAGTTAGAAAGGA